CCCTCCTTCCTTCTTTCCACCTTTTCCCTCTTCTCCCTTTTCCCTCTTCCCACTTTTTCCCTCCTTCCCTTTTCCCATTTTTTCTCCTTTCCCTCTTCCCACCTCTTCCCTTTTCCCCCTTCCCATCATTTCCCTCTTCCCACCTTTTCCCCTCCTTCCTTCTTTCCACCTTTTCCCTCTTCCCTCCTTCTCCCTTTTCCCTCTTCCCACTTTTTCTGTCCTTCCCTTTTCCCAAATTTTCCTCCTTTCCCTCTTCCACCTTTTCCCACTTCTTCCCTTTTCCCTCTTCCCACCATTTCCCTCCTCCCACCTTTTCCTCTTCCTACCTTTCCCCTCCTTCTTTCCACCTTTTCCCTCCTTCCCTTTTCCCACATTTTTCCTCCTTTCCCCCTTCTCACCTCTTCCCTTTTTCCACATTTTCCCTCTTCCACCTTTTCCCACTTCTTCCCTTTTCCCTCCTCCCACCTTTCCCCTCCTTCCTTCTTTCCACCTTTTCCCTCTTCCCCCTTTTCCCTTTCCCCTCTTCCCACTTCTTCCCTTTTTCCACCTTTTCCCTCTTCCACCTTTTCCCACTTCTTCCCTTTTCCCTCTTCCCACCATTTCCCTCCTCCCACCTTTTCCTCTTCCTACCTTTCCCCTCCTTCTTTCCACCTTTTCCCTCTTCCCTCCTTCTCCCTTTTCCCTCCTTCCCTTTTCCCACATTTTATCTCCTTTCCCTCTTCCACCTTTTCCCTCTTCCCACCTTTTCCCTCCTTCCTTCTTTCCCCCTTTCCCCTCTTCCCTCCTTCTCCCTTTCCCCTCTTCCCAGTTCTTCCCTTTTTCCACCTTTTCCCTCTTCCACCTTTTCCCACCTCTTCCCTTTTCCCCCTTCCCACCAGTTCCCTCCTCCCACCTTTTCCTCTTCCCACCTTTCCCCTCCTCCCTTCTTTCCACCTTTTCCCTCTTCCCTCGTTCTCCCTTTTCTCTCCTTCCCTTTTCCCACGTTTTACCTCCTTTCCCACTTCCCACCTCTTCCCTTTTCCCCCTTCCCACCATTTCCCTCCTCCCACCTTTTCCTCTTCCTACCCTTCCTCTCCTTCCTTCTTTCCACCTTTTCCCTCTTCCATCTTTTCCCTCTTCCCTCCTTCACCCTTTCCTCTTCCCACTTTTTTCCTCCTTCCCTTTTCCCATTTTTCCTCCTTTCCCTCTTCCCACCTCTTCCCTTTTCCCCGTTCCCATCATTTCCCTCTTCCCACCTTTCCCCTCCATCCTTCTTTCCACCTTTTCCCTCTTCCCTCCTTCTCCCTTTTCCCTCTTCCCACTTCTTCCCTTTCCCCACATTTTCCCTTTTCTACCTTTTCCCACCTCTTGCTTTTTCCCCCTTCCCACCATTTCCCTCCTCCCACCTTTTCCTCTTCCTACCTTTCCTCTCCTTCTTTCTTTCCACCTTTTATCTCTTCTACCTTTTCCTACCTCTTCCCTCCTTCTCCCTTTTCCCTCTTCCCACTGTTTCCCTCCTTCCCTTTTCCCACATTTTACCTCCTTTTCCCCTTCCCACTTCTTCCCTTTTTCCCTCTTCCACCTTTTCCCACCTCTTCCCTTTTCCCCCTTCCCACCATTTCCCTCCTCCCATCTTTTCCTCTTCCTACCTTTCACCTCCTTCTTTCCACCTTTTCCCTCTTCCACCTTTTCCCTCTTCCCTCCTTCTCCCTTTTCCATCCTTCCCTTTTCCCACATTTTTCCTCCTTTCCCTCTTCCACCTTTTCCCACTTCTTCCCTTTTCCCTCTTCCCACCATTTCCCTCCTTCCTTCTTTCTACCTTTTCCCACTTACACCTTTTCCCTCTTCCCTCCTTCTCCCTTTCCCTTTCCCACTTCTTCCCTCCTTTCCCACTTCCCACCTTTTCACTCTTCCACCTTTTCCCACCTCTTCCCTTTTCCCTCTTTCCACCATTTCCCTCCTCCCACCTTTTCCTCTTCCTACCTTTCCCCTCCTTCTTTCCACCTTTTCCCTCCTTCCCTTTTCCCACATTTTTCCTCCTTTCCCCCTTCTCACCTCTTCCCTTTTTCCACATTTTCCCTCTTCCACCTTTTCCCACTTCTTCCCTTTTCCCTCTTCCCACCATTTCCCTCCTCCCACCTTTTCCTCTTCCTACCTTTCCCCTCCTTCTTTCCACCTTTTCCCTCCTTCCCTTTTCCCACATTTTTCCTCCTTTCCCCCTTCTCACCTCTTCCCTTTTTCCACATTTTCCCTCTTCCACCTTTTCCCACTTCTTCCCTTTTCCCTCTTCCCACCATTTCCCTCCTCCCACCTTTTCCCTCCTCCCACCTTTTCCCTCTTCCATCTTTTCCCTCTTCCCTCCTTCTCCCTTTCCCCTTCCCACTTCTTCCCTCCTTTCCCACTTCCCACCTTTTCCCTCTTCCACCTTTTCCTACCTCTTCTCTCCATCTCCCTTTTCCCTCTTCCCACTTTTTCCCTCCTTCCCTTTTCCCAAATTTTCCTCCTTTCCCTCTTCCCACCTCTTCCCTTTCCCCCCTTCCCATCATTTCCCTCTTCCCATCTTTCCCCTCCTTCCTTCTTTCCACCTTTTCCCTCTTTCACCTTTTCCTACCTCTTCCCTCCTTCCCCTTTTCCCTCTTCCCACCATTTCCCTCCTCCCACCTTTCCCTCTTTCTGCCTTTTTCCTCCTTTTTTCTTTCCACCTTTTCCCTCTTTCACCTTTTCCTACCTCTTCCCTCCTTCCCCTTTTCCCTCTTCCATTTCCCTCCTTCCTTCCCTCTTCCCACTTTTTTCTGTTTTCTTCTTTCCATCTTTTCCCTCTTCCCTTTCCCCTTCCCCCTCTTCCCTTCCTTCTTCCAACTTTTTCCCTCCTTCCCTTTTCCCACCTCTTCCCTTCCCACCTTTTCCCTCCGTTCTTCCCTTCTCTCTTCCCACCTTTTTCCTCCTTCCCTCTTCCCACCATTTCCCTCTTCCACTTTTTCCCACTTCTTCCCTTCTTCCCTCTTTCCACCTTCTTCCCCCTTCCCATTTCCCACCTTTTCCCTCTTCCCTCCTCCCACCTGTTCTCTCCTTCCTTTTTCCCACCTTTTCCCTCCTTCCCTTTTTCCCTCCTTCCTTCCACCTTTTCCCTTTTCCTACCTTTTCCCTCCTTTCTTCCCTTCTCTTTTCCCACTTTTTCCCTCCTTCCCTTTTCCCACATTTTCCCTCTTCCACCTTTTCCCACCTCTTGCCTTTTCCCCCTTTTCCCTCTTCCCACCATTTCCCTCTTCTACCTTTTCCTACCTCTTCCCTCCTTCCTTTTCCCTCTTCCCACCTTTTCCCTCCTTCCCCTTTTCCCTCTTCCATTTCCCTCCTTCCTTCCCTCTTCCCACCTTTTCCCTCTTCCCTTTCCCCTTCCCCTTTTCCCTTCTCTCTTCCAACTTTTTTCCTCCTTCCCTTTTCCCACATTTTCCCTCTTCCACCTTTTCCCACCTCTTTCCTTCCCACCTTTTCCCTCCTTTCCTCTTCCCCTTTTCCCTCCTTCTCCCATTTCCCTCCGTTCTTCCCTTCCCTCTTCCCACCTTTTCCCCTCCTTCCCTCTTCCCACCATTTCCCTTTTCCCACCTTTTCCCTCCTTCCTCCTTTCCACCTTTTCCCTTCCCTTTCCCTCCTTCTTTCCCTCTTCCCACCTTTTCCCTCCTTTCCTCTTCCCCTTTTCCCTCTTCCTCCTTCTTCCTTCCCATCTTATCCTCCCTCACATCTTTTCCCTCCCATTTTTCCCTTCCTTCCTTCCCTTCCCACTTTCCACCTTTTCCCTCCTTCCCCCTTTTCTTCCTTTTTCCCACCTTTTCCCTCTTCCCACCTTTTTCCTCTTTCCTTCCCTTCTTGCTCCCCATTTCCTTCCCTTTCCATCCCCATTTCCTCCCCCTTTCCCTCCACATTTCCTTTCCCTTTTCCCTCCCCATTTCCTCTCCCTTCCCTTTTCCCTCCCATTTCCTTCCTTCCCCCCACTCCCTCCCATTTCCTCCCTCTTTTCCTCCCCATTTCCTCTCCCTTTCCCCTCTCATTTCCTTCCTTCCCTCCTCATTCCCTCCCATTTCCTCCCTCTGTTCCTCCCCACTTCCTCACCCTTCCCTTCCCTTTTCCCTCCCCATTTCCTTCCCTTTCCCTCCCATTTCCTCCTCTTTTTCCCTTCCCCATTCCTTCCTTTCCCTCCCCATTTCCTCTCCCTTTCCTTCCCTCCTCACTTCCTCACCCTTCCCTTTTCCCTCCCCATTTCCTCCCCTTTTTCCCTTCCCCATTCCTTCCTTTCCCTCCCCATTTCCTCTCCCTTTCCTTCCCTCCTCACTTCCTCACCCTTCCCTTTTCCCTCCCCATTTCCTCCCCTTTTTCCCTTCCCCATTCCTTCCTTTCCCTCCCATTTCCTTCCCTTTTCCTCCCCCATCCCCACTCCATTTCCTCCCTTTCCCTCCCATTTCCTCCCCCTTTCCCTCCCATTTCCTCCCTTTCCCTCCCCCATCCCCATCCCATTTCCTTCCCCCTTTCCCTCATTTCCTTCCCTTTTCCTCCCCCATCCCCACTCCATTTCCTCCCCCTTTCCCACCCATTTCCTCCCCCTTTCCCTCCCATTTCCACCCCCTTCTGTCCCCCATC